GACAAAGACAGAGACAGAGAGACAGAGAGAAAGACACACACAGAGAGGGGGGGAGAGGGAGAGAGAGACACAGAGAGAGACACAGAGAGACAGAGAGAGAGAGAGACAAAGACAGACAGAGACAAACAGAGACAAGAGAGAAAGACACACACACAGAGTGGGGGAGAGAGACACAGAGAGAGAGACAGAGACAGGGACAGAGAGACAAAGACAGAGAGAGACAGAGAGTGTTTTAGCCATCCAAGGTTTTTCTCATGGGAAAAATAGGAGGAGGAAAGAGTATTAGGTATATTTACAGGGAATCCTTGACTTTATGACCACAATTGAGCCCAAAATTTCAGTTGTTAAATGAGACAGTTGCTAAATGAATTTTGCTCTATTTTATGATTTTCCATGTTGTTAAGTAACTCATGTCAGGTGTTCAGAGAATCACATGGTTGTTAAGTCAGTCTAGCTTCTCTGTCGATTTAGATGGACAGAAGGCGCAATGCAGAATCACGTTACCCCGGGGACACTGCAACCGCCATAAATATGAGACAGTTACCAAGCATCTGAATTCTGATCATATGACCCCAAAGAGGTTGCAATGGCTGTAAATGTGAAACATCACCATAAGCCTCTTTTTCCAGTGCGGTTGTAACTTTGATCAGTCACTAAATGAACTGTTGTAAGTCAAGGACTCACTGTACTGCATTTTTATTTGTAAAATAGAAAGGTGGAATAAAAATCTAATAACTAACAAACAAACTAACTAAATAAGTTGTTATCCATTTAATCGTGTCCAACCCTTGAGCGATTTGATGGGCCCAGTCTCTCTCTCTATATATATCTTCTGATCTTGCAATGCTTCTTTGAGTTGTTCTATGCCAGTGGTGGCTAACCTTTCTGGGCTCCTATGCTGATAATTGTGCGTGCGCTTGTGTGCCAGTACCCAGAAGGCAATGCGTGTGGGTCCCCCCCCATGCCCTACTGCGTGCGTCATGCGTCTCTGCGCATACATGTCTCCCGTGCAACCCCACCTCTCGCACACGCACACCAGATACCCGACAATCAGCTGTTGGTCGGGCATGCATGCACAGTAGACTTGCTCTGGATGAGGGCTCACATGTTGGCAGTAATGGCTCTGTGTGCCACACGTGCCATAGATTTGCCATCATGGTTCTATGCTCTGGCTGGGGTCAGCTTTGATAGTGTCCAGCCACTGTGTTTTTGGGAGGGTTGGTTTCCTTTTACCATTAACTCTTCGAAAAAAATTGCTTTCTCTGATGAAAATAAACATACACAATAAAACAAACAAACTACACCAAGCGTGAACAAAAAGTAAAATTCCACTACAAATGGAACTGGATGGCTAAAGAGGCAAGGACAGCTGTCACTTCTGCAACGCTATTTTTGTGATTTGGAATTGATTGATTGAATTTATCGGTACTGCTCGACATAGTAACAGTTTGTTCAAAGTTACAACGGTACTGAAAAAAGTGCCTTAGGACCGGTTTTCACAGTTACGACCTTTCCAGCATCCCCATGGTTGCATGATCAAAATTCAGGCACTTGGCAATTGGTTCATATTTAGGATCGCGGTCCCAAAACCACATGATCCCCTTTTGTGACCTTCTGGCCAAGCCAAGCCAATGGGGAAAGCCAGATTCACTTAACAACAGGGTTACTAATTTATCAACTGCAGTGATTCACTTAACAGCTGTGGCAAGGATGGTCACAAAATGCAGCAAAATTCAACTAACAGAATTTTAGGCTCGATTGTGGTCGTAAATCAAGGACTATCTGTATTTTCTCTACTCTTATCCTCCACACAACCCTGCTAGGTAGGCCCCTAGGAGGGAATCTTTGTTTTCATGGGCAGAAATTCCAATTCAGTGCTCCATGCTACAAGCATGAAGATATTTCCATCCTCTCCCAAACAAATCTCCAGTAATTGACTTGTCTGATTTCTACCTGCGTATTTGTGCTGATTCACATGCTAATTATTATTATTTTTAATTTAAATACATGTTAAGATGCTTCTTAAGAATATTTCAGCATATCACTTACCACTGCCCGACTAAAAGCAGCGTTTTTTTCTTCCTTGCTGGACTCTTTTCCTCTCCAGACATAAATTTTCAAACCTCCCTGGTCTATAATGTGACAATCCTGGAGAAGGGCAAAAGGAAGAAAGAAGAAGGTAGACAGGAAGAGATAAGGAGAAGGAGAAGATAAGCAGGGAAGAGGATAAGATTAATAAGGAAGACAAGGAGAAGGAGATAGATAATGAGAAGAGAAGACAAAATAAACAATGAGGAGTGAGGAGAAGAAAAAGATAGACGATGAGGAGGAGATTGACGAGATGAACAAGGAGAAGTAGATAGACAATGAGTAAAAGAAAACAGGGAAGGCGAAGATGGCAAGGAGAAGGAGAAGATACATAAGGAAGAGAAGAAGAAGATAGATAGATAAGTGAGAGGAGAAGAAGATTGACCAGGAAGACAAGGAGAAGGAGATAGACAATGAGGAGAAGGAGAAGATAGACAAGGAGGAAAAGAAGGAGATAGACAAGGAAGAGAAGAATATAGATAAGTAAAAAATTGACAAGGAGAGCAAGGAGAAGTAGACAGACAATGAGGAGAAGAAAATAGAGAAGGAGAAGATGGACAAGAAAAGGAGAAGATAAATAAAGAGGAGAAGAAGGAGACAGACAATGAGAAGAAGGAGGAGAATGAGAAGATAGACAAAGAGGAGAAGAAGATAGAAAAGCAGGATAAGATTGACCAGGAGGACAAGGAGAAGGAGATAGACAATGAAGAAGAGGAGGAGGAGATAGATGAGGAGGAGGAAAAGATACACAAGGAGGAAAAGGAGCAGATAGACAAGGAAGAGAAGAAGACAGACAAGCAGGAGAAAAAGAAGATTGACAAAGAGGACAAGGAGAAGTACATAGACAATGAGGAGAAGAAAATAGAGAAGGAAAAGATGGACAAGGAAAGGAGAAGATAAATGAGGAGGAGGAGGAGAAGATAGACAAGAAAGAGAAAGAGGAGAAGGAGAAGGAGAAGAAGATAGACAAGGAGAAGGGAAAAGAGAAGGAGGGGAAGGAAAGGGAAGAAAAATAACACAGGATTTCAACCAAAGACTCCAAGATCAGAACTGATATATTTTACACTGAGATCATGTCCCTTTTGTGGGAACAGCCAAACCAAACAATATCAGCTCAGCAGTTGCATATCTTACCTCATGACTCAGGAGGTCTTGGGTGAGGGGCCTGGTTGCAATTTCTTGGACCACAAGATCTTTGCCATTTTCGTACACACTGTAGGTAGAAACATTAGTAGGTAGTAATGCAAATATTTAACTATTGGTTGTTGTTGTTGTTTTTTAAAATACTTTTTCTGCATATATTTCTACTTCACCACAAGCTTTTGCCATCAATCAAGCAGAATAGAGCTGGAATGGACCTTGGAGGTCTTCTAGTCCAACCACTTTGCTCAGGAAGGAGACCCTATACCAGTGTGTCAAACTCAAGGCCCATGAGCCAGATCCGGCCCAGGGGATGCTTAAATCTGGTCCACGGGGCCGGCCTGGAAACATCAAAGGACCCAGCCCGCGGTGCCTCTGCTGGCCAAAACGGGCCACAGGGGGCCCGCGTGCAACCCTCCTGCAGCCTGTTTTCAGCCTCCACCACTTCCTGCAGCACTCTGCCAGCCAAAGACAGCCATGTGGAGGCCTCGCGAGGCCCCCACGCAGCCCGGTTTCGGCGTCCATGGCCTCCAAACAGCACTTTCAGTGGTGCGATTCAACCGGTGTAACAACCAGTTCATTGAGCGCACGCGAAACGCGCACTTCGCACACGTGCTCTACAGTTTAAAAAGCACATTTTCAACCCAATTACTTACCTCCTACTGCAGCCCCTGGGACTGAAACAGCTGTGGTGCAGCAAACTGGTCTGCCGCGTGAATCAGCTGTGCTAAAAATCCAGGAAATAAAGCACAGGAAATGCCCACCGGAACTACCAGTTCGCCTGAACCGGTCCAAACCGGTAGACTCCCACCCCTGTCTCCACCCCCCCCCCAAATGTGAGGCCCTGTGCCTCATTTTGGCCAGCAGGTGCTGCAGGAGGTGTCCTTCCCATTTCCCCCCTCATTCCCCATCCCTACCCCGCTGCCGGCCCACGGAGGAGAACTACAACTCTGATCCAGCCCTCAAAGAAATCTAGTTTGACACCCCTGCGCTATACAATTTAAGAAAAATGGCCGTCCAGTCTTTTCTTAAAAGCCTCTGATAATGGAACAGCCACAACTTCTGGAGGCCAGTCGCTCCACTGTTTAATAGTCCTCACTGTTAGGAAATTTCTCCTTAAATTCTGGCTTGCTTCTCTCCTGGATTAGTTGTCACCCATTGTTTCTTCTCTTCACTTCTGGTGCTTTAGAAAAATAAGTTTACCCTCTCTCTCTCTTCTTTGTGGTAGCCTCTCAAATGCTGGATTTAAAAATCTCTCCAAGTTTGTGAACAACAGGAACTTACTGGTAAAGGCGGACATTGGCTTTCTGATGTTCATCCGCTTTTTCATCCGGTAATGGCTCCCTAATCTCTTGATTCCTCTCTCCCAGTGTCGCCTTCATGATCTGCATGAGTTCCGGGCAGTCTTTCTCGTTGTCGATGACGGCAATTTGGGCACGTCCACCTCTCTCCCCATCCCGGATGTTTCGTGCCAAGATCATTCCCTGGTCAACGGGAATAATAAGACCAAACAATGCAAACCCCAAGCCATCCACCGTGATTACAGGTAGACCTTGATTGCAACTATTTCTTTAATGACTGTTTGAAGTTATAACAGCCCTGGGGAAAAAAGGAACTTATTATTGTTTTTCAAGGTTACGACTGTTCCAGCATCCTCATAATCACGTGGTCAAACTTCAGATGCTTGAGCCACTGATTCCTATTTATGACGGTTGCAGTGTCCCTGGGTTGTGTGATCATCCTTTGCGACCTTTTGACAAAGTCAGTGGGGAAGTCAGAGTCATTTAATAGCTACTGCAGGTTACTAACTTCACAACCGCAGTGATTCCCTCAACTGTGGCAAGAAAGGTCATAAAATGGAACAAAAACCCACTTAACAACAGTCTTATTTAGCAACAGAAATTTGCTGGGACAGTGCAGCCATCATAAATATGTCTGGATTTTAATCATGTAATCATGAGGATGCTACAGCGGTTGGAACTGTAAACATGGTCATAAGTCATTTTTTTTCCAATGCTGACACCAAAAATGAACAGCTACTAAACGAATGGGGAAAAGTCGAGGGATTAACCATACAGCAACCCAACTCACACACAGTGGCTCCGTGCAGCGTAAAGGTACGGTAGTCCTCCAATTATGACCGTAGTGGAGCCTATGCTTTATAACTGTAACAGTTGTAAAACCTGACCAATCTGATTTTATTAAATTTTTTATGGTGGCTGTTAACATGGCACCGATAAGTGTAAATGCTGCGGCTGTTAAGCAAACCCCTTGTTCGCTATGTCCTGAGGACATAGTTCATGGTTCTTAACCTTGATGGTAGGGGGAGTCTCATCTTCTGGGAGACCTGGGGGCTTTCATGGACAGGTGGTGGCCCATCATAACAAGAACTGGCTGGACTAGATCGAGCCAGGGGTGAGATTCCACCAGTATAACAACCGGTTTGGGGAATCACGTGCTTCGCGCGCACTCTGCAATTTCAAACAGCTCTAATACTTTACCTTCTACAGCAGTGGTGGGATTCCAAAGTTCCCACCACTGGTTTTGTGGGTGTGGCTTGGTGGGAATGGCTGCGGACGGGTTGTACGACTTGTGTGCATCACACGCGCGCCAAACACGTGCTTTGCACCTGCGTTAAAATTGTAAAAACTAAGCTACTACACCTCTCAGCAGTTTAGCAATCCGCTCTGCCGTGCCAAAGAACTGGGAGGTTAAAGAGGACCTAGGAGCAGGGGAGGGCAGGTGGGCCCAACTGCACAGCGTTGGAGAGAGTCAGAGCGAACGCGTTCTCTGCCAGCTGATCTTCGGCATTACTGGTACGCCGTACTGGTAGAATACCACCACTGTTCTACAGCAGTCCCTGTGAAGAAAACAGTTGCTGCGCGAATCAGCTGTGCTCTAAACACAAGAAGTAAAGGACAGGAAAGAGCAGGGGTGGGCGGGTGGGCCCACATATTTGCAACTGGTTTGGAGACAGCTGATCTTCGAAGCAAGCAGTTCGCCCGAACCGGTCTGAACCAGTAGAATCCCACCCCTGGATCTAGCAGGCTAGATTCCTGCTTATGTTCTTATAACCTGGGTTAGTGTTTTGCATCTCCAAAACTGCATCAAGATATTATTTTCCATGGCTGACCTTCGATTTTTCAGCAATGTTGCAGGAAGGTCCGTTCCACTGGATCAGCACTTTGCCAAGATCCAACAGGAAGACGTCACCTTTGTTGAAATTGTCCCAAGAAAGGTCAACCTGTTTGGAGGTAACAGAGAAATATTGACCTCAAAACAATAGGAAAGTATTCATTCAGAGCACAGGTACAGTACAATCCTCGATTTATGACCACAACTGAGCCCAAAATTCAGGAGACATTTCTTAAATGCGGCTTGCCCTATTTTACGACTTTCCTTGCCACAAGGTGTTAAGTGAATCATTACAATTTTCAAATTAGTAACCAGGTTGTTAAGTGAATCTGGCTTCCCCATTGATTTTGCTCGCAAAAGGGGATCACATGATCCCAGGACTCTGCAAGTGTCATAAATGTGAGTCAGTTCCCAAGGATCTGAATTTTGATCATGTGACCATAGGGATGCTGGAAGTGTGAAAAACTTTTGTTTTCAGTGCCGTTGTAACTTCGGATGGACACTAAATGAACTGTGTGGTAAATTATAACGGTCAAACACTCCTGCAGTCACGTGATCGTATTTTGGTTGCTTGGCAACAGGCTCAATTTTACAGCCATTTGCAGTATCCTGTGGTCACATGACTGCAATTGGTGACTGTTTTCTGGTTTGTAGTGTTATTTCTGGTGCCTGGCCAAAAAAAAAGACAACAACCATGATGGATTTGCTTAACAGTTGCAGCACTGACTTAACAACTTCTGCAAAAAGTCTTTATTTTTTATTTTGCTTCTTTTTACAGGGCTCACATAATTGGAAGCCACTTCTGATTGGAATTTATTGCATTTACGATGGTATTTCTGTAATATCACTGAACCACCAAAAGTTCTTCTGATTGTAGCAGTGTACAGGTAGTACAGTTGAGCCCAAAAAATTCTGTTGCTAAGGGAGACATTTGCTAAGTGAATTTTGCCCAATTTTACAGTTTTTCTTGCCACGGTTGTTATGTGAATCTGAGTTTCTCACTGACTTTGCTTGTCAGAAGGTGGCAAAAGGGGATCGTGTGACCCTGGGACGCAGCAACCGTCATAAGTGTGAGTCAGTTGCCAAATGTCTGACTTTTGATCAGGTGACCCTGGGGATGCTGTAATGGTACTTAGGTGGGAAAAGTCATTTTTTCAGTGCTGTTGGAACTTTGAAGGATCACTAAATGAACTGTTGTAAGTGGAGGACTACCTGTACCCTCCTATTTCACATGAGTACAGCAAGGGGAGGAGGCAATAGAGTGCCATCTGTTCTGGCCCACCGGTAGCTAACGGAGCTGGTAGCAGAGTCGGACAGCGGTGAAGAGGCTGGGAAGGAACCTGGGCCAGTCTTGGAGGCTGAGGAAGGCTCGGATGAGGGCTCTGCATCAGAGGCAGAGGTGGGGCCAGGGCAGGCTGGCAATCATTAGCTGCCTTCAGACTCAGACAACAGTGAGGCGGGGGAGCTTCCGGAACTGGTCCCTAGCCTGCGCATGCGCAGGGCTACCAGAAGACAAGAACAATTGAGAAAGCAGGGCCGACTCAGGAGTAAGGCCACGCCTCGGAGATGATTGCCCTCCCCCCCACATAGGACATAAAAGAGGAGCGAATAGGATGTGAGCGTTTGCAGGAAGCAATTAATTCATCCGGTCAATTCAGGCTTTGAAAAGTTCTGATCGACTCTGTGTCCAGTTTGGCCTTGCCCTGCATTCGGCAATTCCAAGTGCGATAAGGTGGTGTCTATAAACATTCCCCTGATAGACTGTTTTGTGAAGACTTGCAGGCTGGGAATGAACGTAATTCACAGCCATACAAATAAAAGAGGTTTTGCTGAAACTAAGATTGTGTTTTACGCTTTCTAAGGAAGCCTAGGTCAGAACACAATCAGACTTGAAAGAGTCTGTTAACAGTAGTTCTCAGTTAGAACCATCTATTTAATGACCCTTCAAAGTTATAATAACCCTGAAAAAAAGTGACTTGCGACTGGTCCTCACATTTATGACATTCACCGCATGAGCACATGATCAAAGTTCAGACAGCTGGCAACTGGCATATATCTACAACCTGGGATCCTGGGATCACCATTTGCATCCTTTCCAGACAGCTTCCAACAAGCAAGCTCAATTCATTTAGTAACGGTGAGATTCACTTAACAACGGTGGCAGGAAAAGGTTGCCAAATTGGGCATGACTCCCTTGACAACCTTGTTGCTCGGCAACAGAAGTTCTGCTCCAAGTTATGGTTGTAAGTTGAGGACTTCCTGTATTACATAACTTGCCTCTAAAAGTTTTGGGTGCTCCAACCTTGGAAGTTTTTAAAGAAGAGATTGGGCAGCCATTTGTCTGAAATGGTATGTAGGGTTTCCTGCCTGAGCAGGGGGTTGGACTAGAAGACCTCCAAGGTCCCTTCCAACTCTGTTAATCTGTTAATGGCCTTGAAAAAAAATAGTTTTAGCTTTTCTGAGTTAATCTCCTGGTCTGGACAGTTGCATTTACTTAAGTTTAGTTTTTGAGAATGCAAATATATTAAATATATATATCAGGGGAGGGGCTGTCCTTACCTCTGTAGCTGACACATGTTTCTTGCCCTTAACATGAAGGAGCCGTTTGATGTTATACATGTTGGTCTCAACATGCTTGAACCCTGAAGCCAATCCTCCCTTCTTGTAGCTGTTGAAAACAAGACTTCATATTTAATCACCAAAGGGGATACTTTTAGAGAAATAACAGCTACTCTAAAGGGTCACACAGCTAGTTAGAATCTTACTGTCAGGGTTCTAAATAATATGCCTTTTCCTTGCAGGAAGCTCACTTTAAAATATATATATATTTCTTAAAAAAAAAAAAAAAGAATAGGTTACTAGACCTCATTGTTACAGGTAATCCTCGACTTACCACCATCACGGAATTTCCTGATTATTCTTGTAAGTTGCCATGGTCACAAAACAGGGGCCAAACTGATTTGACCATCTTTTTTTCTTTGCAGTGGTCATTAAGACTTACTTTTTCTCTTTCTTCACTGAAAACCAGAAGTAAATACCGGTTTTCAGCAAAAAAACCAAAAACAACCAAAACGATTGGTGTGATTATAGGATGATGCAAACGGCTATTTTTGTGGCGGGGTTGCTAAGTACCTGAAATGTGACCCCAGGCAGTTGTGGAAACTTTGCAACTGGGTCAGTTGCAAGTACAATTCACCCACCCCCAGGGGAAGATCTGTCGTAACTTCTAACAGTCGCTAAACAATCGGTCATAAGTCAAGAACTACCTAAATGAGAGTATTGTTGAACAAGTGAAGGAAACTAAAATAAAAAAGGAACAGGAGGTTGTTAGAGTGTTTTGTTCATTGCATAGACCAGAAGTCTCCAAACTTGGCAACTTTAAGACTTGTGGACTTCAACTCTCAGAATTGAGCTATGCTTGTGCTGTCCAGACAGTATATAGTTAATTGGGAAGTGGGATAGTAAGTTAGAATTGGGAGCTGCCCCCTTAAGGGAATGCCTTATGGTAAATGTAGTTAATGCATCCTGGGAAATGTAGTTCCTGTCATGTGGCCACGTCTGTAATCCTGATTGGTCACTGAATTGACCCTTGGTTGGGTTGGGGGTGGTCCTTCACTCTTGCCTTGACCCCAGCAGGGTTCTGGTGCTTCACCCCCTTGCTCCTTCGTTATGGGATGAAAGGTCACTATTCCTTTACACTATGAAGTCAGCTATGCAAAGAATTGGACATTAGATGGATCTCGACATAACCGTGAGTTATAGTTGAGGATGCCTGGTGAACCAATAAAGAAACTTTGTATGGAAGCCTTTGTAGAGTATGTCTGTCTGTCTTTATATTCAGCCAGTCATTATAAAAGACAGAACAATGCTGGCTGAGGAATTCTGGGAGTTGAAGTCCACAAGTCTTAAGGTTGGAGACCCCTGCATAGGCACGTTTTCCTAACACTCACATGATGCCTTTCTTGAAATAACTTTTGAAAGCAGCGGATTCGTGCCCTTGAACCTCTCGATGCTGAATGGCCATCCCTTGCAGGGAATCATCCATCTGGGTGACATAGAAAGCGGCAGCTCCTTGCTCGTCCTGGCTGGCATCGCGCCCGATCCAAAAGTGGAGATCAGTGGCGAAGCGATGCTGCATCTTTGTGTTCTGGAAAGGAACAAACACGGCATTGAACTATTTTCCCATTGGCGTCGCTTGAAGGATGGGTTGGGAAAAGGAAGAATATTGTTGTTGTTTTTAAAACAATGATCCAAAAAATGCCCAAACACAGTACTTGACTTACGACTACTACTGTGCCCAACATTTATTTCGCTAAGCTGGGCAGCGAGTTTCATTCCATTTGACGATCTTTCTTGCCATCGTTGTTAAATGGAACACTGCAGTTGTTAAGTTAGTAAGAGGATTGCTAAGTTAATCTGGCTTTGCTTGTCTGAAGGAACTTGGAAAGTTCCAAGAAGATTGTTGCTTCTCCATTTGCACTATTAAGGTAACTCTGAGAGCATCCCAATAAACCTCCAAGTGGCTTTAATGACTCTCAGAGGGGGTACTATCATGTTTCCCTTAAGATAACACCCGGCCTTATTTTCTTTTGGATACCAAAATAATAACTAGGGCTTATTTTCTAGGGCTGTCTTATTTTTTTCTCATGCAGGCAGATGCACAGTGCGTCCAGCAGGAGGGTGCCACCATTACAAGGCGAACGCAAGGCAGGAGGTGTGGCAGGGGTGGCACAATGTTGCATCCCCTCCATACTCCACCCCTACTGTCCTATGTCATCCTCCAGTGCTCTTTTACCTTTGCCTGTTCACGGTTGCCTCAGTGGTGGGATTCAATTTTTTTTACTACCGCTTCTGTGGGCGTGGCAGGGGAAGGATACTGCTAAATCTCCAGTCAGAGGCGGGATTTGCTGGTTCTCCGAACTACTCAAAATTTCCACTACCGGTTCTCCAGAACTGGTCAGATAACCTGCTGAATACCCACCTCTGGCTTGCTTGCTTTACTCCTGCAGCAGGAAAGAGGCAAAAAACCCACTCGAAGCTCCAAGGCTCTGTCCACTGCTGCGCGAAAATGCCAACTCAAAGAGGGACTGATTTATCTGCAAATGGTTTCGGGAGGATGCGCTGAATTGCTTGCAGCACTGCCACTGATCAGTTGAGGCACGGGGCAGGGGTGCAAAGGGGCCATGGGTAAACAAAACAGATGGTGGGACCAAATGGGTGGACTCTTAACTAGGGCTTATTTTTTTGTGTAGGGCTTATATTAGGTGCACACTAAAATCATGCGAGGGGTTATTTTCTAGGTAGGACTTATTTTTGGGGAAACACAGGCAGCGATCAGATGACCTCACAGAATATAAATCCTTCCATCCTCCTGTGAGAATTCCTCACAGTACCCCAATTTTTCCTCAAGAAAACTTTTGGAACGTCTACCAAAGGTGGTTTTTCATGAGGCAACTCGACTTTCTTGTTTTTCTTTGAAGACATGGGCAGACATTTCCAGAGAAGTTGCAGATGGCAGGAATGATTTGCATTTCAGTTTGGGATGTAGACAGCATGGTCTCATCCCAGGAGGCCTGCGCCTGTGTTTGACAATGGGGGGACGACACAGGGCAGAAAAATCCTGCAGAAAGCACAGCTCCGACTTCTCAACAACACAGTCCTTTCAGTGCTTCCAAGAAAGCTGCACTCCCATTTGCACCACTCAGGTGACTTTGAGAACACAGATAAACCTCCGGGTGGCCTCAACGACTCTCCAAAAAGGATGCAAATGACCAGCTGTCTGCAAGGAGTATAAATCCTTCCATTCCCCACCATCCAGTCAGAGCTGAAGAAACTTCTTGCATCGGAAGCAAAATGTCTTCAGAGAAAAGCCAAGCCCAGTTGCCTTTTGAAAAAGCACCTTTGGGTAGGGTTCATTTTTAAAACCATGGTAGAATAATCCTAAAGCCAGCACGAGAGATTAGGAAGTTGTATAGAAGAGTAATGTTTAATTATATTTCTGGTGGAATCTCACACACATTCTCAGTTCTAGCATCCAAGGCCGTGCAGGAGGAGAGCGTGAGAAGCGTGGGACTCTTAACCCTGGCACCAAAGGGTGATGGGAATGAAGAGGAAAGGCTCAAGCAACTTGGGACCCCCAAGAGATAGGGAAGAGGATTTCTCAATGGGTGGGGGGAGGCCTTTGCTGGCCGGATACAGTGGTCTTGTCCCCTGAACTAGGCCTCCTATCGGAGGTGGGTATTCAGCCGGTTCTGACCAGTTCTGGAGAACCGGTAGCAGAAATTTTGAATAGTTCGGAGAACCGGCCACTACCACCTCTGGCTGATCCCGCCCCCATCTATTCTCCGCCTCCCATCGAGTTCCAGCTGATTGGCTGGGTCTTCTTTGGTTGCCCTGCACAGGAGAACGGAGCTGGAAAGCAGGTTAGTGGGGTGGGGAGGGAATGAGGATTTTGCAGTAACCTCCCCCTGCCATGCCCACCAAGCCACAACCAGTAGTAAAAAAATTTGAATCCCACTACTGCCTCCCATAGTCTTTCCCACTCCAGAGGTACCCATGCACTCTTAACAATTTGCGCATTCGATTAACGAATGCACTGGAGAAAGGAGGGATAGGGCTCGTTCATTTAATTAATCCTCAGGTTACGAATGTAATTGGCAGGCTCCATTACATTCGTAACTGGATGACTACCTGTGAATCAGTTATTCTTTCTTGACCATATCTTACATTTAATATGATGTAGCAGTCTCCTTCAAAGAAACTCCCATAAGCCTTTGCGGGAATAGGCTCCATCTTCATATTCTGAAACAGAAGAGAAGATACCATAATATGCTATGCCAAAAGTCCTTGTGAGATGCTTTGGAAAGTGTCAGAGAGATCCCAATGTTTAGCATAGGACAGTGGACTCAGAAATGCTTTGGGGAAGAAGAAAGAACTTGTGCATAGTAAGAAAGAACAAACAGACAAACCCAAACAAATGTAAAGGAAATGGACAGCTGCATAAATAATTTAAATAATTACATAAATATAAGATAACATTTATTGTCACTCTTCCTGCACTGCACACTGGCTGGAACATATTAAAAAAATGAAATTCTGATGCATGCTCTCAAAAGAAAATATATACATACACACACAGAGATAGATAGATATAGATATATATCTGTATAAATAGAATAATATAATATAATAGAGTAGCGTAGCATAGAGTAGAATAGAATAGAATAGAATAGAATAGAATAGAATAGAATAGATACTGGAATGAAGAATAGAATGGAATGGAATGTATATACACACATACATGTATATATAAATACATATATATGCACACATATATATATACACACATATATATATGGTATTCAGCTATACATACATACACACACACACACACACACACACACACACACACACATATATATATATATATATATATATATATATATATATATACACACACACCCACCCACACCCACTAGCAGTTAAAAGGAAGAAGCAGCTGCAAGCTCACATTACTCCAAGAAGCACAAAGCCGAAGACACAAGCCTGAAGATGATGAATGAGACTTCATCGAAACGTCGCCTAGATACTTCCAATTTTACGCGGGAGAAAACCTGAATAACCAAAGATCCACAAACAAATACCCGCGAGAACCTCAGAAAACACACACACACACACACACACACACACACACACACACATATATATATATATATAAAACAAAGCGGAATACCATACATATACATATACATATACATACATATATATACATATATATACATATATATACATGCATATATATGGTATTCCGCTTTGTTCGGGTATTTTCCCACATCATTATAGTTGTGCTTTTAAAGTTGTAGCAACGTTTCGACAGAATCTCATCTGCCATCATCAGGCTTCTGTATACTGTTCATCTGTTAGTTGGACTTTCACAGCTGTTTCTATTTTAAATTTGGTGCTAGCCTACTGCTGTGCCAGAATGGTTTTTTCTTCATCCTGATTGGTTGGGAGTCTTGGTCTGCCCAAGACCAATAAACACAGACCAAGACTCCCAACCAATCAGGATGAAGAAAAAAACCAACCGGTAGGGGAAATTTTGAGTAGTTCAGACAATCAGCAAATCCCACCTCTGACTGGAGATTTTACAGTATCCTTCCCCTGCCATGCCCAACAAGCCACGCCCATACACACACACACACAAACACCCCCCCCACATATATATGTGTATGTGTGTGTATGTATGTATATATATATATATATGTGTGTGTGTGTGTGTGTGTGTGTGTGTGTGTGTGTGCATGTGTATATACATACATAGAGGAGTGGGATTCAGCCAGTTCAGGCTGGTTCAGGTGAACCAGATGTTAAATTTACATCTGGCTTGCCGAACCGGTAGTTGAAATGACCAGCTGGCCCCGCCCGCCCTGTCCCTCCCCTCCCAGGAGTCTCCACGTGGCCTGTTTTGGATGCAGGTAAGTTCAGGTTCCACGCGGAGTCTCTGGTAGGGCGAAAAACGGCTGAGCTGAAAGTTCCGGAAGTTCCGGAAGTCCAGAAATGCGCCTGCTTCTGGAGGGCTCTGGAGCCCAGCGGAGGCCTCTGGACTCCGGGGAAGGCAAAAAATGGCCTTTCTGGAAGTTCTGGCAGGCCACGCCCACCCAGCAACCAGGCAGAGAACCGGTTGTTTGGATTTTTGAATCCCACCCATGCACACACGTATATTATATATACTAATCACAGACCATTTGGAATACATAGCAGAAAAAAGAGTCTTGAGAATTGTTGACACTATATGGCACAAAGCTATTGCAGATCTAGTCATTCTGCTTGGGATACCATGAAGCCATCCTGCAAAAGGTAACAAAGAAAAGCGGTCATGGACAGGATGTGTATTGTGTTGTGTCCCTGACAATACTTTGGACTCTGGTAAATCAGGTCAAGATTGCAACTCAACTGCAATACATCACATCATGAAGTTCTCTGCTCAATAATTTGATGGATAAAGAACTTGAAAGAAAATTAGGGACTTCATGATTATATATGTTGACTGTGCAAGAATCTTACATGCACCAAGATGGAAAAACACACTGATTCCAACAATGAAAGAATTGATGTCAAAATCCCTGGATTGGTGGAGATAGAAAAACATTTTTTTTAAAAGAAATAATTAATTAGTTTTGTTTCTACTTGAAAACCGCTTTCTATATGTTTTGCTTGAAACTGGGAAAAAAATGAGAATTTGATTTTAGGTTTCGATGATTAGAATGGTTTTGTAATTGTAGAAATGGCTTGAAATGTTGTGAAATGTAAAAGGGAAAGATTGAGGTTGAATTATTTCTGTCATCTGCTGTACCAAAGAAAGGCGGAGGTCATTACAGGTAGTCCTCAACTTACAACAGTCTGTTTAGTGACCATTCAAAGTTACAACGGCACTGAAAAAAGTGACTTATGACTGTTTCACCAGTTTCTTGGCAACTGATTCATATTCGTGATGGTCGTGATGTCATCACATTTTGTGACCTTCTGACAAGCAAAGTCAATGGGGGAAACCAGATTCACTTAACAACCATGTTACTAACTTAACAACTGCAGGGTTCACTTAACAAGAAAGGTCGTAAAGTGGGACAAAATTCATTTAACAAATGTCTCACTTAGCAATATAGATTCTGGGCTCAATGGTGGTTGTAAGTCAAGAACTACTGATACTCTTTTTTCTTTCTTTATACCTTTCTCTTTCCTTTTCTTATTTTTCTAACTTTTACTTCTTCTATATTTTTAACATAATCACACTTAATAAAAATTACACACACACACACACACACACACACATCCCATGGGTAAGCCTTTCCTCTGCTTTTTCTTTTGTGCTATAAGGTGGATGTACTTTACCAATTTGGGAGGTCCACCAGCCCAAATGAACATGATTCTGAATTTTGGGGTATGGTCTGTTTCCTAAAATCAGCGTTCCTTGACTTGAAGATGTGAAGTCCAAACTATGATGGCAAGAATTGAGTATGTCTAGGCTGATGAAAAGAAGGGCCAGGGGAGACATGATAGCACTGTTCCGATATCTCAGGGGCTGCCCCAAAGAAGAGGGAGTCAAGCTATTCTCCAAAGCACCTGAGCGCAGGACAAGAAGCAACGGGTGGAAATTAATCAAGGAGAGAAGCAACTTAGAACTAAGGAGAAATTTCCTGACAGTTTGGACAATTAATTAGGTTGGAATAATATGCCTCCAAGGTCTCTTCCAATTTTGTTATTCTATTATTGCAAAAAACTTATCTGATCTCCATAACTACAAAAGAGACAGGAGCTTGTCTTCTTTTGATCCAACATTGGGGAGGCAAGCATTGCAAATCAAAAATATAAATCTATTCATGTTCCGAGGTAGAGTTAAAGCATTAGACCTTGTTGGGAATGCAAGTCAGAGGAGGAGGGGGCCCAAACTCACGCTGCAATGGACAAGGACCCACATTCAATTTTGCAGCTATTAAGATTGTTGGACGAGCAGGCACAAAAACAGCCAGGGAAGTGATTGAAGCCTGGGAAACGAGCCCTTCCTCAATCAACAGGAATGCGGATTTGCCACCAGCTTATCAAATACTTAGGAGGCGAAGGCTTGGCAGTACAAGGAAACAAAAGCCAAAACTTAATAACCAACCACCAACAATCCAAACAACATCTAAAAAGCCACATACACCGGGCACCCTACAAATACCAGGCACAGAATACCCAAAGAGAGAGAGAAGTTCCCTGAGGATGGGTTCCAGCACAAGTCTGAAAGCTTGGAAGACTAAACCCCTAGTCCTCACGATCGATCCAGATTGGATCCTGCAATGTTATCCTGGGACACATATATTTGCCTTCATTATTGTTGAGAATTCTTCACTCCACCCCTGTTTTTCCCCCATGAAAATTTCTTGAACTTCTAAATATTCCTGGAACTTCCGTGCATGGCTGCACAGTCTTATTTCAAAATTCACAGATATATATATTTTTGGCTTCATTCATTAACCAGGTGAAGTTTTCTGCTTCACCTCACGCAAAACTTGCTGAACAGGATAAGCTGGTTGGTCAGAAGAGACCACTAAAGATCAGCTGTTTCTAAAAAGCTGCAGCTTGGTGTAAACTCTGTCTCAGAGGGTTTCGAATGCTGATATATATACATATATTTGTCTGCCAAGGTCAGTATTGACCGGTTGGGGCAAGGAGCAGAGAAGTCCTATCATAATCAACCCCAAATCTCTCTTCCTTGTTTTGGAGAGGTTACATTGCTAAAGCCACTGGTTCACATAACCCAAGTATGCTTAATCATGATTTGTGGAGTAAACTACAGTTGGCTGCATGCAAACACAGCAACATTTTTTTTTAAAAAATCACTATTTATTATGAACTTTATTTGCTGCTCATGTCAAACAACGGGGTGATATGCAGCATGAAAACATAAAAAAAATATTACAATCATCCACTGTAAGATAACAAAGCATGTAAAACCAGCGTGCCTACTATCCCTGTCTTACTATCCCTATTTATCTGTATTTACTTCCTTTGTTTATGTTTATGTTCATTTATTTATACCTGTTATCTTGTAAATGTTTGACAAACAAACAAATAAATAAGTAAAATAAAATAAAGCCATGAACAGTGAGTGTCCACTAGAAGTATTGTCCCAGAGGTTTATTTTAATTTATTTTTAAAAAATTAAGTTCAACCAAGACATTGACTTTGAAATATGGATCAGCAAAATTTTGGATCTGATTCTGTTCTGGTGGTTCATTTGCTGGTTTGTGCCTCACTCTTCACAACTCCATGGACCACAGCAAGCGAGGACACAAATACACACACACACACACACACACACACACACACACACACACGTCCTCCACTATCTCTTTGAGTCTGTCCACATTTGTGTTTGTTGCGTCAATAACGCTATCTAAGCCTCTCATCCTTTGCTGCCCCCTTCTCCTTTTGCCTTCCATCTTTCCCAACACCATAATTAATATTAAAGTAAAGTTAAACTTAAGCAAAGTTTGATGTGCAGCATGACTTAAAACAAAAAGGAAGAGGTTTGCTAGCTGACACTGTTGTATAAAAACCGATTGCATTTGTTAACTACTGAAGAAACTACGTGCTACATTTTTTGCGGGGAGGGTGTCATTTATCTTCACACAAACTCAACCCCGGTTCTATAGAATAGAATAGAATAGAATAGAATAGAATAGAATAGAATAGAATAGAATAGAATAGAAGGGACCTTGGAGGTCTTCTAGTCCAACCCCTTGCTCAGATTATGTACCATTCCAGACAAATGGCTGTCCAATCTCTTCTTAAAAACTTCCAGTGTTGGAGCATTCACAACTTCTGGAGACAAATTGTTCCACTGATTAATTGTTCTTAACTGTCAAGAAATTCCTCCTTAGTTCTAAGTTGCTTCTCTCCTTGATTAGTTTCCATCTGTTGCTTTTTGTCCTGACTTCAGGTGCTCTGAAAAATAGCTTGACCCCCTCTTCTTTGGGGCAGCCCCTCAAATATTGGAAGACTGCTATCCTGTCTTATCTGGTCCTTCTCTTCACTAAGCTAGCCATACCCAATTCCTGCAGCTGTTCTTTATATGTTTTAGCCTTCAGTGTCCCCTAATCATCCTTGTTGCTCTTCTCTGCACTCTTTCTAGAGTCTCAACATCTTTTTTACATCGTGGCAACCAAAACTCAATGCAATGCTCATTATATTTGAATCTGCATCTGTTGTATTTAATCTCTTCCAATCAGGTAGTCCTTGACATATGACCTCAATGGAGCCTGCTCATTATGGTCCTAAGTCATCATTGTCATAAATTGACCAGTCCAATTTCATTATTGTTTTTGTGGTGGTCATTAAATGAATGCTGCATTCGATAAGCAAAAAGTTAACTCCCAGTTTTCGAAAAAGCCATCGTAGAGTACAGTCATGTGACTGTCGGATGCTATAAATGACCATAAGTCCAGCTATGTTGTCAATGTCCGAAGTTCCAGATGATCATTGGAACTTTGGAACCAGATCATAATTTCATTTTTCTGGGTAAATTATAACTTAACTCAGGTTGCTACGAGACTAGTTGTAAGTCAAGGACTAAAATGCATTGATTTGTCAGTCAATACGGAAATGATTTGAATGACATGATGGTCCCTGCTGGAATAAATTTCACTTTGTGGGAAATATCAACGATATTTTACCTTGATGGTCCATATTTGCAGCCCTGGTTTCTGCTCAATGGGCGGAAGGCCCATTTCTCTTTCAACGTCTGTCATCCTTGATCAGATGAAGCTGCAAAAACAAATGAGGGGTAAATATAAATCCTGCAATTGTTTTATTCCCCCCCCACCCTTTAACTGTGGAAAGTGCAACACCTTATGCAGGAAGGCCCCTGGAGGCCTAATTACTTTATTATCTCAATTTATGTCTCTCTTTTGTATTCACTCAAGGCAGCTACCACTCAGAAATAGAGAAAAATGTAAAATAATTCCCTCTAAAATGGTGAGCAATCCTATTCAAAGAGACCGGATGAAAAAGGAAAGTTGGATTCCTTTTTTTTTTTGTCAGAGAAAAATTTGTGTGTTCAGCACAACTGCTGGACAAAGTGTTCCCCTGGTACAGGAATGAAACGAGAGAGAGAGAGAGAGAGAGAGAGAGAGAGAGAGAGAGAGAGAGAGAGAGAGAGAGAGAGGGAGAGAGAGAGAGAGAGAGAGAGAATATGGAGTTCTTTTGATGTAAGTGCTGGATTAGAAATCAGGAGGGTGTGAATTCTAGACTTGCCCTAAGCAAGGTGACTTTGAGCCAGTTACTAGGAGACAATGAGTTCTAGTCCCACTTTAGGCATGAAAGCCAGCTGTGTGTCTTTGGAGTCTGGACCAATCATCTGGAGGCTGTGAGTTCTAGTCCCACAGAATGAAATAATGGTGTATCTAATTAAAAGACCAAGAAAAAACAAGAGATTTTCTTCTTTATCTAACAAAACACAACAAGAGAAAATATAAATGGGAAGCAGAAGGAAAAACAAAGAAAAGAAACAGCAGTGGAACAAATATTGCATCTAGAAGTGTTTCTCATACAATTTATGCATGTGTGCATATGTATAAATATTTAAAAAATAATAACTGATGTTTAAATTGGCAGTCTACCAAAGCTGAATCATCAGCAACCTCTTTCCCACCATGTATGACCTTAATGAGGACTAGCGACCTGCATCTTTAGATCCAAATTCCTCAGAATATAAGAATCTGCTAAATTCTTATCTTTGCCCCCAGGCCCTGTAATTGAATCTGCAGCCCTACTCCAGGGTAAATCTTAGGGGTGTATAGCTGCTGACAATCAATCGCCCCCTCCCTCCCTTCCATCTTCAAAATGGAGTGGATGAACTTCAGGTTAAAAAGTTGCGCCCTTTTGTTGATTATTTCCCCTGAACTGCACTGAAAACAACGTTTTGATTCTCTTGTCATCCATTGTTTTAATCTGCTCCACCGTGGGAGTTTTTATTGTACACACTAAACCTCAAACGAAACGACTCCTGTGTTTTCTCCCCTTCTTCCTGAAAACTGACATTTGCAATAAATCCTTCCAATTGTACTCTTTCCTGATATTTCAGTTCAAGGGTTTCAAATGTCGGCCGATGAAATCCATCTGGACATATGCAGTCACGGGCTGTGCCCTACCCTTTATGGGTGTGGAAACACAGGTGAATTCCACACGTAGCAGCCCAAATCTAGAATGGTAACGTCTTTGCATGCTGTGAGAGGTTTTGGGTGTGGTACAGGTAGCCCTCGACTTACGCCCACAATTGAGCCCAAAGTTTCGGTTGCGAAGTGAGACATTTAAGTACGTTTTGCCGCATTTTGCAACCTCTCTTGCCACCGTTGTTAAGTGAATGTTAAATTATGAATGAATTAAGTCAATGTAGGTGTTAAATTAGTAAGTGAGTTATTAAGTGAGTCCTGCTTCCCCATGGACTTCCCCTGGGACACCGCAACTATCATAAATATGAGTCAGTTGGCAAACATTCCGAATTTTGATTTAGTGACCATGCTGCAAAAGTCGTAACTGTGAAAAGGGGTCATAAGTCACTCTTTTTCAGTGCTGTTGTAACTTTGAACGGTCACTAAGCGAACTATTGTAAGTCGAAGACAACCTTAGTCCTCAACTTGCCAAATTGTCCACCCCCACCAAATAAAAAATGTAAAAAAGAAGGCAATTGCCGGACCATTTCCAAAGCTGGAGAAGAAGAGAAGGCAAAAAAAAGTGACACAACATTATATAGATTTTGTTCATCTGATTAAAATGTTGCTTTTCCTAAGCTCCTTGGGGGGAGAGAAAAAAAGAAATGTAGGTTAGGGCAACTTGTTTTGGTAGAGGTATATTCAAAACAGGAAATTACCACCAAACAAAGGGCTAAAATAGCAACTTATTTGATTTCCCACCTCATGATTTCCATTTGGCATCCAGTCCGTTCAAATAACTAACTTCTAATTATTTCTAGGCAAAACTATATTTTTACAGAGACACGCAGTCGTTTCAGAATTAAAGTTCTTGGCCGAAGTGACTGACAGTAATAATCATGTCCAGTTGAATGGCTTCAGAACGTTATCTGTGCCTCTGGGATTCAGGCCACCTCGCCTTTTCTTAATACCGAGATCTATTCTAAAAGGAGGGCGTCCAATATTCCTCACGGGTGAGAACTGGTCCTCTAAACAAGATCTGGAAATAGGTGATCAAGAATTAGGTTGGCCCATCACTGGAGGAATTTTCTGTCTCAGGGAATTCTGGGAGTTCAATGCCATTCATCTCTTAAGTTTGCTGAGTTGAAAAATATTGTCATAAAGTATTGGCGAAGTACCAGTCCTTCCCTGGATAGGAAAACACCAAATTCTTTTAAGATGGGCAAAGAGGTTGATTTGTCAAAGCTGAAATCTATGTTTTCCCCAACAGCTTGGAATGACCTCCAGGGGCTCAAAAAACAGTGGACTAACTTTGATATTCAGGTTATTTCTAAGGAGCACACCTGGCTGGGGAACTCTGAGAATTGAAGTCCACACACCTTCAAGGTGCTTGAAGGAAACACTGATCTACAAGGTCAAATTTCAAACAAACAAGCGCCTTCAAACTTGGCAAGTTTAAGACTTGTGGACTTCAACTCCCAAAACTCCTGAGCTAACATGACTGGAGGAGGAATTCTGGGAGTTGAAGTCCCACAAGTCTTAAACTTGCCAAGTTTGAAGACCCCTGAAATAGAGGCTTGAGTAGGAAGGATTGCAGTTTTGGTATAAGACATCTGCATATGCCTTATTATCTCATTATAACAGTTTCAGAGTTGGAAGGGGCATTGGAGGTCTTCTAGTCCAACCTCCTGCTCAAGCAGGAAACCCTGTACCATTTATTTTATTTTATTTATTGTATTTGGTTTGTCAATTGCTACACTACACTACATAGCCAAAAAGGCGTTAAGAGTTGTTAACCTAATCTTACGTAACTTTTTCTCTGGTAATATCACACTAATAACTACAGCATACAAAACACTTGCTAGACCAATACTAGAATACAGCTCATCAGTCTGGAATCCACATTACGTATCTGATATTAACACAGTTGAGAAAGTCCAGAAATATTTCACAAGAAGAGTTTTCCACTCCTCTACTCGTTGTAGAATACCTTATGCCACCAGACTTGAAATTCTAGACCTAGAAAACCTAGAACTACTCCGCCTTCGGTCCGATCTAAGTATAGTATATAAAATCATACATTGCAATGTCCTACCTGTCAATGAATACTTCAGCTTCAACCACAACAACACAAGAGCACACAATAGATACAAACTCAAGGTTAACCACACCAAACTTGATTGCAGGAAATATGACTTCAGCAACAGAGTGGTCAATGTCTGGAATACTCTACCTGACTCTGTGGTTTCTTCCCCAAACCCCAAAAACTTTAACCTTAGACTGTCTACTATTGACCTCACCCCTTTCCTAAGAGGTCTGTAGGGGGCGTGCATAAGCGCACCAACGTGCTACCGTCCCTGTCCTATTGTTTCTCTTATTCTTCTTTTATTTTTCTTATATGTACCCATTTCATGTATTCACAACTATGTTTATACTTATACCTATTATCTTATAATCGCTTGACAAATCAAATAAATAAATAAATAAGTAAGTAAGTAAGTAAGTAAATAAATAAATAAATAATAAATATAGGTATAAGTAAAAACATAGTTATGAATACATGGATACATATAAGAAAAATAAAAGAAACAATGGGACAGGGATGGTAGGCACATTGGTGTGCTTAAGCACGCCCCCTACAGGCCTCTTAGGAAAGGGGTGAGGTCAATAGTAGAAAGTCTAAGGTTAAAGTTTTGGGGGTTTGGGGAAGAAACCACAGAGTCAGGTAGAGTATTCCAGACATTGACCACTCTGTGGCTGAAGTCGTATTTCCTGCAATCAAGTCTGGTGCGATTCACCTTGAGTTTGTATCTATTGTTTGCTCTTATGTTGTTATGGTTGAAGCTGAAGTATTCATTCAGACAAATGGCTGTCCAATCTCTTATTAGAAATCTCTAGTGGGGTTTAGCAAGGAAGAGAGGGCCAACTCATTTAGCAAAGCAGCTGTAAGAAGGACAAGAAGCAACAGATGCAAACTAATCAAGGAGAAAACAACCTGCAATTAAGGAGGAATTTCCGACAGTGAGAACAATTTAATCAACGACTTTGCCTCCAGAAGTTGTGAATAATCCAACACTGGAAGTTTTAAAGAAGAGATTGGAGAACCATTTGTCTGAAATGCTATAGGGTTTCCTGCCTAAGGTTAGACTAGAAGACCTCCCAGGTCCCTTCCAACTCTGTTCCTGTTATAATGAGATAAAAAACGCACATACATACATTGTACAAAAGCTGTTTCCCAATCCAATTCTTAAGCCAAAAAAGTGCCAGATTTCTCCTTCAGTCCTTCCCAAAAGAGAAGCTTAAATAGAAAAAAAAAAAACCACCTTTTTTTGGGGGGGGGGATAACTCTTTTGGCTTTAATTTTTGAAAATTCTTTTAATTGGTAGTTCCTAATGTGTTTTTTGACTATTATGTTCTAAGGCTGCATGGATCTGTTTTAATTGCCAGCCCCTTTGAGGGGCAATTGCATAGGAAGTGGTAGCTATAAATGCCACATTGGAATAATAATATCAAGGGTAATTATAGTTAAAAAAAAAACTGGCACCACATGCCAGATAATAAAACTTAAATGGAGGAACTGCAATATGTTTGCCATAATTAAAAGCTTCCCAAAAT